AATACATCCCTCAAATTTATTGTCACTGTCCAGAGCAGGAAGAAAACTACGTTCTGCACTGAAGGTAGTGTCTCTCAATCAAGCACAAGCGTTGAGTAACTTTGTGATTACGGTGCTAGTCCAAAGCAAGAATAATGACGAAATCGACGTTCACAGGCAGACTGCCTAAATAATTAAGTGCCTGTGACAATTTGTAATGCTTTACAGCCTGATTTCCATCCATATTTTTGCCTGGTACATTCTAAATGCGCGGCTTGTCGAGATTTCCGTAACTGGTGCGAGTTGCAACAATAAAATATTCTCTAGCTAGTGCTGCGCGTTTTGGTCGTCTTGGTTTTTTGTTCGTCTATATCAAAATGTAATCGACAAAAAAAGCTGCTTGAAGCTCTGGACTTTTTTCACCTATTACGTCCGAGCTGATTACATTTTTTTTGTGATTATATTTCTATTACGTTACAAGAGCCTCGCACACTAACTCCCGAGTGTGCGATGCAAAATGAAAATGAGATACCCAGAAACTATATATATATATATATATATAAACGCGGCGGCGTGTGTTTCCAGAGCACCTCCGATTGGATACATTTCGTTTCTTGTGCATTAATAAGACAGGTAGGAAACGCCAGGAAGCCAAGGTGGAGTTGTGTAGTGGTTAGCACACCCGACCGGACATTGGGAGGCCCAGAGTTCAAATCCTGGCTCCGCCGTTTTTTGGCTTTCGGCGGGTTCCTGGAAACTTGGATTCTTTAATTCATTGGATTAAGTACGGTTCATTCATCTGCACAATTTCGTTTATATCCTCCTCGGAGACCACGTACGATGGTGTGAAGTGCCCGTGTTGTATATTCAATAACGTGGCTCTTGATTCTCGCAAATGATGATGATACCGTGTCTCTGAAAGCTCATAAAACAAAGAATACTACTACATGTACACGGGGCGAGACAACCAGTGGGAGGATTTCTGGAGCACAAACGAGCACGTACCACGTGACACTAGGCGTCGTACCGCGTTCCACGCGGCGGCGTGTGTTTCCAGAGCACCTCCGATTGGACACATTTCGTTTCTTGTGCATTAATAAGACAGGTAGGAAACGCCAGGAAGCCAAGGTGGAGTTGTGTAGTGGTTAGCACACCCGACCGGACATTGGGAGGCCCAGAGTTCAAATCCTGGCTCCGCCGTTTTTTGGCTTTCGGCGGGTTCCTGGAAACTTGTGTTCTGTAATTCATTGAATTAAGTACGGTTCATTCATGTGCACAATTTCGTTTATATCCTCCTCGGAGACCACGTACGATGGTGTGAAGTGCCCGTGTTGTATATATATATATACAACACGGGCACTTCATTATATATATATATATATATGAAACACTGCCGAGTGGAATGCATGAAAATCGTAATTCGATTTTTGCTCACGTTTAGACGGCCTTTGCAAGACATTGGCTTTATACTTAGTCATAACAATTTTTTTTACTATAAGTATGCAATTCTGTTTTTTTTAGAGGGAAATTGTTGTCTTTTACCATTTTCGTTTTTTTTTTTTTACATAAAATCGCAATCATGCCATTAGGAGCAGGTTTAACTAATACTGGGATAGCTATATCAAACGAACGAAAAGTAGCTATGTCATGAGACATATATTGATATGTAGCTATTTAGATAAGCTATCAATTCGTGTTTCTTTCTGGCTTATTGAACTTATCGAACTTAAAGGGAATGTGCGGTCAAATTTTGTCTTCAAGAAAACGATTAGATACCATAGCCATTACCTTTAAAAGCATCTTCCGCACGACGCCCGAATTCATTAATGCAGAATTGAATTTTAAGGCGAGCCCGAACTTCTCAAATCGCGCCCCTCAAGAAAACGGCGTTCTCGTTGGCAACATTGGCAACCGCGGATGCTCGAACGTCACAAAACGCAACGTGCTTCGTTTATGGCTCCTCGTTTGTCGGTTTTGCCTGTGTTTTTGATTGCTGCGACGTGCCTTGTCTCCAGTGATGTGCTAATCCTGCTAGTCTTTTCGTAAATGGGAGGGGACTTCTGTTGTGCGGTGGGGTGCCACAACCATCGGGCTGCTCCTGCGAACCAGAACGTCTCATTCCACGCATTTCCGCGAGACGTCCAGCGACGAGCGAAATGGATTGCCGCTGTGCGTAGGGAGCACTGGGTTCCCGTGAAGAGGTCCCGCTTGTGTAGCATTCACTTCTCGCCGGAGAGCTACGAGCTCAGCTCGAGGCTTGCGACGGATTTTGGTCTGGGACAAAAGTACCCAAGGCTCAGGGTTGATGCGGTCCCAACCATTTTCAGTCACATTGTTGCGCGGCCCACTCCTCATCGTGGCGCGTTGGCGAAGAGGAGACGAAAAGATGTGAGTCAAAAGCTAGTTTCTAAAAGCGTTCGGTACCTTGTACACATCGTGATGCTGGTTTTCTGGAGCACATGTTGTGGCGGGCTGGGCAGCTTCGGCTTAGGTCTCAGTAGTTCTGACGCGCTAGCGTCGGCCAAGTACCCCAAGTCGAGGTTTAGCGCACATTGTGCACAGCTTTCCGATTGTCGCTCGACGGTTATCGGTACAAATTAGGGTGCCTTCCTATCCGATGCTCACATGAACGCACCTTAGTAGGGGAACGTGTTTCATTGCGTGAGCGCTCGTTCCATGAGGGCATTCGAGCGATGCGCTTCTGCTCGCTCTTGCCACGCTCACACGCTGCTCATGCCCAAACCTCTACGGGACGATTTCTGAAAATGTTTGATTCAATTTACTTAGTCAAGAGCCTAGATGGGAGGGGGAAGCCGGTTCCATTCTGAGCTGGTTTTGGGGATGAAGGAATAAAAAAAAAACATTTATGCTGCAGTGAGGAAAAGCAACTTTGAACTGATGATCCATGCAGGACGAGAGGTATGAAGGCTGCGAAAAAAAGTTATTGTTTCAAAGATGGGTTACCCAAGAAAATTTAATAAAAAAAGAGAGAGACGCGAAATCTTTCTTCGAATTCATAGGTCAGGAAATCCAAGATAAGATTTCATTAATGAAACGCTAGCAAGATGCAAATAGATAAAATAAAGCGCACTGATCGCTTTTGTACAGATTCAGTTGCATCAATGAGAGGGTGTTGAGCCGGGTCCCATATACTTGACGCATATTCTAGCTTTGGGCGGATGAGTGTCCGATATAAAAGTAGCTTGAGAGAGGAGGGGACTTCGGCAAAATTATAATGCAAGTAGCCGAGCGTGCAATTTGCATTGTTAATGACGTTATGGATGTGGGTATGCCATGAGAAGTCATTAGTTATGTGATTACAAACACAGGTGGTCGACGAAGCCATTGCGGAAGCGGCCGCAGTAGACACGCCGATGGATTCTGGCAGCCAGTCACCCTTGGATCCAGATGCGGATATGAATGTTCCTGACGATCTACCCGCAGAGGAAGAGGGGACAGAAAAAATCTCTGTCTTCGTGCAGACAGAATGTATGAAGACGCGGTCGCGGTCTAATCAAACTAAGGTGACAGGCAGGAGCATAGGTGAGGATATGTTCGGTTTTCATAGTATTTTAAATGATTCCACCATATGCGTATGCACTAACAAGTTGTTTACTCTTTAATGTTTGTGAAATGTGACCTGTAGATTATCTATGGGTGGCATAAACTTCTCAGCAGAAGCTTGGAACAAGTTTGTTAGGTTTATACATACCTATGAAATCTAAAACCACAAAGGTCTCAATCACAACTCTCAAGAAACGCAAACTTCAAAGAATTTAGAAACGTTGCTTTCTTAAAACCATAGGCTTAGAGACTTTCTTGCCTCTTATTAAACCAAGAGCCACTCTATATGGCAGCCAGCTGCCAGAGTAATGCCACTTTTTTCCGCATGCCATCTTTCGCCGCGATTGGTCAGTATGTTACAACGGAGACGGTCTGAGCTGCCTCAGTTTTTATGGCAACCCTCTACACCGAGGATAGCTGAACACACTGGGGCGCGACTCGGACACCATCTGCTACCCTTGTTGTATCCCTGCGGGCGTCCGGCTTCATCACCAAGTATCGGCGATCGGCGAGATGGACCGGTCACACCTGGCGCCCTCGTTTTCCCGAGGCATGAAAGAAAGGAACTGCCTCGGCTGCCCCGACAGAACTGGCAGCGCCGGGAAGTCTACTCATCTGGCGTAGTTTTGAACGTCCCGGACAAAGGACGCTCCTACAGCCTCGAGCTACCTGGGTGTAGCAAGACAACGAGAAAGAAAACGGTCTGGTGCAAGAGCGCGCACAAGAGCGTGGTTTTTTTTTATCTTTTGCTGGAACTCGCAACCTCGATGAACGCTGCTGACGATCAGCCGCCTAACCTGTACATAGGATGTAATTAAATCTGTACATACTGTACAGTTCGTTACCGCTGATCGGCTCCCAGTCTCCTGCCCCACTCCCGCTCCCGTGCCTGGCATGAGTCGACACACCACCAACCAGGGTCAAACGCTCGGTCCCAACAACTGGTAGGCAGCGGTGGAGATCGGGTCACATGCGTCGGACATCGGAGGTGGGTGGGTGTTCATTTTCGTTCGGAGGTTCGCCAAGTGTCGTTAATTATAGCTAGGAATTTATCGGTGACATTTGAGTACCTAAGTGGCTACTGAAGAAGCGTGACATTAGAGTACTTCTCAGTAGAGGGATATTCCGAGCGTGGGTGGCATTCACGATAGACATGGAGTGGGCGAAATTGAAGAAACCGGAACTGATTCAGCTATCAGAGGAACTGGGATTAGAAGTAGTAAGAACCATAAAAAAAACAACAACTCATTGCTAAGATTCGGGCTTTAGATCTAGAAAATGAGGAGATCATTGAGAGCTGGGAAGAAGTAGAGAAGAGAAACCATGACCGAAGGAGGGAACTTGACTTGAAAGAAAAGAAACTCGAGCTTCGGAGACTCGAGTTGGAGCAGCGGCAGCTCGACAGCGGGCGGGCTAGCTCAGAGGGGTCAAGTCAAAAGAAGGTCGAGAGTTTCAAAATGTCTAAACTGATGCAGCCGTTCAAAGTAGGCGAGGACATTGGCCTCTTTTTGGTGAATTTTGAGCGTACCTGCGAAAAACTGGGTTTTAGACGCGAAACTTGGTCACAGAGACTGCTGACGCTCTTCCCGTGTGAAGCCGCGGACGTTGTCGCGCGTCTGAGCAAGGAGGACGCTGAAGTGTATGAGAAGGCGAAGGCGAGTGTGCTCCGAAAGTACCGCCTGACCATAGAGGCCTTTCGTCAGCGATTCCGTAGCATGCGTAAGAAGCCCGAACAAGGATACCCGGAGCTCGCGTACGACCTGCGGGCAAACTTAATCGAGTGGCTAAAAAGCGCCGATGTGTACGGAGAGCACGATAAGGTAGTGGAATGCGTGGCCCTTGAGCAGTTCTACCGTTGCCTCCCTGACGCGGTGAGGTTCTGGCTTCAAGACAAGCCTGACGTGAACACCGTCGAGAGAGCGGGGGAGCTGGCCGAGGAATACGCTTCACGTAGAAAAGCTGGAGAGGAGCGTCCGCTCGAGAGGGAAGCCAGAGGGGAACCTAAGAAGCCCGACGGAACCGGCAAATGGCCTGCGGCAAAGGCCGGTAAACGTAATGGGGAAGGTAGGCAACCTGAACAAAAGCTTCCGAGCGAAGACGTCTCAAAAGAGTCGAGATCCAGTGAGAAGGGGAAACCCGAAAGAGAGAAGTCGTTTGAAAAGCGCAAACCGCCGGTGTGCTATAACTGCCAGGAGAGCGGGCACATCGCGGCGGGATGTCGGAAGCCAAAAGTGGTGTTTCACTACGTCGATGACGAGGAGAACCGGAGGCTTCTAGAGCCTTATGTACACGACTTAAGAGTCAATGGTAGCCCGTGCCGAGTTCTTCGCGACTGCGCAGCAACCATCGATGTCATGCACCCGTCTCTGGTTAGGCCAGATGACTACACGGGGGAATGTGCATGGATTAAGCAGGCAGTCGAAGATCAAAAGGTCTGCCTCCCCATTGCTCGCGTTAGTGTAGAAGGTCTCTTTGGGAAGCTGGAGACCGAGGCCGCGGTTTCCCGCAATCTGCCTCTCAGCTGCCCCTATTTGTTTTCAAACAAATCCGATCAGATGCTGCGAAAAGGGGGCCTAGTGTTTAGCGAAAGGAAGGTGCAGGCGCTAACGAGAGCCAAGGCGCGCCAAATAGCCGCGGAAGTGGTGTGTCGGAGTGAGGATGAAGTTCCACCGAGCTGTCAGTCAACTTCGGACGGGCCCTCTTCCTCCGACAATGCGGAGACCACTTCTACGGACAAAATGGGGTCAACGCGACACGGGAGCGCCGCCGGGGAAACCGGGAAACTCGCGAGAAGCGATACCGCGGCGGAGATAGAAGAGGGAAAGAATGTGCCTGGCTGCGAAACGGGGGACGAGGGGGACTCGTACTCTCCCCTTCGTCGCGTAGCTTTCATGCCTTGCTACAGGTTGACCGAGAGCTTCTCATTGAGCAACAACAGAGTGATCCGAGCCTTACAGTACTGCATGATACCGCCAAAGATGGCATAAGCAGACGGAACGTCTCGTATCAGATCAAGGCAGGGGTACTCTACCGCCATTACAAAGATCGTAAGGGCAGGGTTCTCGACCAACTGGTCGTGCCCCAGAAGTACCGCTCGGACCTCTTAGAGTTGTCTCATGGGAGCTCTTGGTCAGGTCACCTCGGCATTAAGAAAACGAAGGACCGGCTGTTACAAGAGTACTACTGGCCAGGCTGCTTCCGCGACGCGGAAAACTTTGTACGGTCGTGCGACGCGTGTCAGCGTGTGGGGAAGCCGCACGAGAAGAACAAAGCACCGCTGAGACTAGTGCCGCTGATCACAGAGCCTTTTCGCCGCCTGGTCATAGATACGGTAGGTCCACTGCCAGTGAGCAAGTCAGGGTACAAGTATGTATTGACGCTACTTTGTCCCGCGACGAAGTTCCCAGAGGCATGTCCTCTGAAAGAGTTGAGTTCAGCCGAGATCGTGGACGCGCTGCTGTCTGTGTTTGCGAGGATTGGATTTCCCGCTGAAATCCAATCAGACCAGGGTAGTGTTTTCACTAGCGCCCTCACGAACACATTTTTGGAGAAATGTGGCATTCGTGTTGTGCATAGCTCCGTGTACCACCCTCAATCAAACGCCGTAGAGAAATGGCATTCAGTTTTCAAACGAGTTCTGCGCGCGCTGTGCTTCGAGCAGAAAGTAGATTGGGAGGCGTGTCTTCCGGCAACCATGTTCGCATTGCGCACAGTGCCACATGAAGCCACGGGTTTCAGCCCGGCCGAGCTTGTGTATGGGCGTTCGCTGCGCTCGCCACTACGCATGTTGCGTGAGTCATGGGAAGGCCAAGGGGAAGACCCGACTGTGGTGGAGTACGTGTTGAAGCTCTTAGATCGCATGCATAAGACACAGGAAGTAGTTGAGGCGAACATGCAGCGGGCGCAGGCGAAGGCGAAACTCTACTATGACAGGGGAGCCAGGGAGCGTAAGTTTGAAGTGGGAGACCAAGTGATGCTGCTGAGGGTTTCCAGGAAAAACAAGTTAGAGGTGCAGTGGGAAGGTCCAGCCAAAGTGCTGCAAAAGCTCTCTGAGACGAACTACGCTGTGGAGTCGGGGGGGAAACGAAAGAAAGTACGGATATATCACTGTAACCTGTTGAAACCTTATGTGGGGAGGAAAGAGATAGTTAGCCTTGCTTGGAACACCCCAGAGGAAGTCCCCACGGAGATTCCTACTTGGGAGGGGAAGAGGGGAGAGTATGATGTAGACACCGTCATAGCCAAGGCAGTAAAGACCGACGTTCTTACTGAAGATCAGCTGAGTGATCTGCGCAAAGTGATCAGTGAGTTTGAGGGGTTGTTTTCCGATCGACCTGGCCGTACTAATCTCGTGTGCCAGGATATTGAGCTCACCGAGAGTACTCCAGTGCGATCGAAGGCGTACAGGGTCTCTCCAAGACGGAGAGACATACTAGCTGAAGAGATCGAACGCATGCTCCGGCTCGGGGTTATCGAGGCCGCCGAGAGCGACTACACCTCTCCACTCATACTGGTGGAGGTGCCGGGCAAAGACCCCCGCCCTTGCATAGACTATCGTAGACTCAACACGATCACCCGAGATCAAACGTACCCTATCCCTAACATAGAGGAGAGGGTAGAACGAGTCAGTGCCGCTAGGTACATTTCCACGCTGGATTTGATTCGTGGATATTGGCAAGTGCCCCTGACAGAGCGGGCAAGCAGGTATGCAGCGTTGATTTCCCCACTTGGAACGTTCAGCCCATTGATGCTCAGCTTCGGGCTCAAGAACGCCCCGTTTTGCTTTTTAAAGCTCATGGACAGCGTTCTTCGTGGAACTAACACGTTCGCACTGCCATATCTGGACGATATCGCGATCTTTTCAGCAACGTGGCAAGAACACGTTTCGCACCTGCGGGAAGTGTTTCGCAGGCTACGCGAAGCAGGCCTTACAGTAAAGGCAGAAAAATGCCAACTGGGGCAAGCGGAGGTGACCTACCTGGGGCATGTAATCGGACAGGGCAGTCGACGACCATCAGAGATTAAAGTAGCAGCCGTTGGGAGCTTCCCTAGACCCGAAACAAAGACGCAGATTCATTCGTTTCTGGGCTTGACTGGCTATTACCAGCGATATGTCGCGAACTATTCTCAGGTAGCCAGTCCCCTCACTGATGCTCTCAGGAAGAACGAGCCCAACAAAGTCGGGTGGGACGAGAAGAAGGAGCAGGCTTTCCAGAGCCTAAAGAAGGCGCTCACCGAGCGGCCGGTGCTAAGAGCACCTGATTATGATCAGCCATTCTTTGTGCAGTGCGATGCAAGTGACCGGGGCATGGGGGTTGTTCTGTGCCAAAAAGAAGGGGACGAAGAGCATCCCATTCTCCACGCGAGCCGCAAGCTGACAACACGGGAGGAAACGTATAGCGCCTCCGAAAAGGAGTGTGCTTGTCTAGTCTGGGCCGCACAAAAGTTGTCTTGTTACCTGGCGGGAGCTCCATTCACCTTTGAGACGGACCACTGTCCCCTGACCTGGCTGCAGCAAATGTCGCCAAAAAACGGACGGCTGCTAAGGTGGAGCTTAGCACTTCAGGAGTTTAACTTCCGAGTAACATACAAGCGGGGGAAGCTGAACTCGAATGCAGACACTCTCAGTCGCATGTATTGAAAGGGGGTTGTACAGACGCTATAAAGCCTTGAGAGATTTCTAGCCATTCTAGTGTTTTAGTGCTTTCTCGATGTCTTGTTTGGTGGGTCAGCCGCGCTCGGACGGCAGAATTTGATGACAGTGAGATTAATTAGGGTGATCTTTACTTGGCGAATTTCCGGGCGGGGTGAATGCTTGCTGATTTCTGTTGTGTGATGTTTTGTGATTCCGTGATTCATGCGCTGCTTGCATGTTTGAGAGGTGAAAAAGTAGCAGCGCCGATTCTGAGGCCTGGAAGACAGCAGTAAGCCATCGGCTTTCGGCAGAGCGGTTGCAGACCCCTCAACCTCAAGACCGTTTACCCGTCGGCGGAGGAGCTGTTGTATCCCTGCGGGCGCCCGGCTTCATCACCAAGTATCGGCGATCGGCGAGATGGACCGGTCACACCTGGCGCCCTCGTTTTCCCGAGGCATGAAAGAAAGGAACTGCCTCGGCTGCCCCGACAGAACTGGCAGCGCCGGGAAGTCTACTCATCTGGCGTAGTTTTGAACGTCCCGGACAAAGGACGCTCCTACAGCCTCGAGCTACCTGGGGGTAGCAAGACAACGAGAAAGAAAACGGTCTGGTGCAAGAGCGCGCGCAAGAGCGTGGTTTTTTTTATCTTTTGCTGGAACTCGCAACCTCGATGAACGCTGCTGACGATCAGCCGCCTAACCTGTCCATAGGATGTAATTAAATCTGTACATACTGTACAGTTCGTTACCGCTGATCGGCTCCCAGTCTCCTGCCCCACTCCCGCTCCCGTGCCTGGCATGAGTCGACACACCACCAACCAGGGTCAAACGCTCGGTCCCAACACCCTGTTCCCCGACGGTACTCCAGCACGAGGACTTTCCAACGTGCAAAGTTTGCAGTGGTCTTTATCCTAGAGCTTTTTCTCTGCATAAGATAATCCGTGCCTACATTAGCATCACTTGTCCATATTCCAAACTTCAATCGGAGTGCTCAAACGAATGGAGCAACCAAACAGTCGCTAGGTGCTGCGGGCAGTGCGGTTTCCGTGGCAACCTGCCTTTACCAATATAGAGATTGCCATTGTGCTTCAGGCGTTATGAGTAGCACTTTTGGCCTAGTGTCCTTAATCTTGCAGCTAAAGCTGTCATATACAATGGCTTTAATTAAACTTGGTGATTGTGTGCCGTTGCAGGAACCCAGACAGCACTTCCCAAGTCAAGCAAAGAGGTGCAAACGGAGGCCCCCCAGCAAAGCAGCCCAAGCACGTCCACTACTGTGCTGGTGGAAGCTGAAACTGACGATGCTAACTTGGAACCGGATGAGTAAGTGTTCCTTCGCACTGAAATTGCATATCAATAACTTTCTGACATAAATCTTGATATGCACGTCATTGACAAAATGGCTCCTCTTGAAATGATGAGAGGAAGACCTAATCTTCTGCGAAGGGCCTTGGTTTACTCCAGTTTTTCCCTTTACACTGGTTTGGCATATAGAAAAAGAAAAGGAAGCCCCAATGCTTTCTTTTGCCGTAATGCCTCCATGTTATAAGAAATTTTCATGTTTGCCTTTAAAAAGTTAAACATTTGTGTCACTCTAAGAGAGGACAGACAGTGCTGTAGAGTCTAGACCAGACTTCTATCTTTCAAGCTTCAAAAATTTTACTATATGACTCTGCAGTCCCCAAGGAAAATTGGTGCAGCTTCACTGCAATCCTGCTGACACATGTCCACTTTATTCAGAACATGCATTCCTGGAAGACGGGCTTCTGAGTAGGACATGAAATGTGGAGGGTTTGTGCCAAATCAATCGGGGACCAATGACACATCCTACCGAAGTACTGTGCATTAATTCTAACCACCCGTAAATTTTAAAGGAAATGAAAATTGAAATAATGAAAGGACAGAACGAGCGAATTGGTATGGATAATTAAACTTCAAGTTTAAACCTCAAGTTTAATGAAATAATCAAATTTCGTTCGGAAATAAGTCGGGCATGACGAGTAATAACCGTAAATGATAATCACATGTTATTGTTCTGAACGACTCGCTATATTTTTCGTTCCAAACGATGCACTCAAGCAAGCGCTCGGAAGAGAAGCAAACGTAGAGCGCGATGCATTATGGGATATCCGGCGCAAACAAAAACAGAAAAAAAAAATTCCCCGTATTCGTGACGTAGCAAGGCTGGCGTGGTTATTAGCTTTGCCGTTGGTGGCGTTGTCAGCGTTGTGGCGGTATCAATAGCGTCAATGTGTTACAACCGAGCCTTTCATAGTACCCGTGGGGTGACGAGCGTGTGGCTGGCCCAAGGAGCACGTAGTTTCCACCACACTTCAATGCCCCACTAAGAGCTTGGTTTGCATGGTGCCTACACTGCGAAAAGCTTCTGTCAGACTCCAGGTGCCTTGACCTTGAGCCACAGGAGCGACAAACTTCTGGATATGGGCCCTTTTTACTCTACTGATAATCATTTTAAACCTTTTGTTTTTTTACAGGGATCCTCTGGGTCTCCTCCAACACCCCAGAGATGACGTTGAGTTCCGTCCAGACTCCTCGGAGGATGAAGAGTTGAGTAGAATCACTTCATCTGATAGGGACTTGCAGGTGACATCAATTGTTCTTTTTAATAGTATTTTAACTTTGTTTCTTTTCTCATCTCAAAGGACTTCGGAAACAGACACATCGCCGGGGACGGAGCAGACAGGCGCCAACAAATACATTGTCTTTGAGTCGTGCCTGAAGAAGCTTTTAAAGCGATGTCCTGACTGCTTCTCCATGGCCACCGAAGTTTCTTTTCGTTGCATTGGGTCCATGGTGCGGGCCACGATCACTTGCAGTGCTGGCCACTCCAGCATCTGGGAGAGCCAGCCCAGGTGTCATGGGAAGCCAGAGGGCAACATCCTCATGTGCTCTGGAATCCTGTTCAGTAGAGGCTGCCCCACGAAGATGCTCCGCCTCTTTGACATCATGGGTGTCGCCCATATCCACTCCTCGCAGTTCTACGAGTACCAGAGGTGCTACCTTCTCCCAGCAGTGATGGATGTAAGTTGCCTAGGTTGTGCTAACCTTCACATGTTGAGCAATTTAAGCAGTAACTGTATTGGCGACGAGATGTTTTGGTGGCACCACCTCGCGGACATCCTCCTGTGACTGAGCTGGTAGGATGCGAGTAGACGACGCACTATGTCAAAGCACGGAGTGGCTACGCTAGTTCGCATCTATGCCGATTAAAACAGTTTATTTACTAAAGAAACATGTATGACGTTTTTGTGAGTGATCTGTCTAGTGAATAACAGAGCCTCAAAGTTGCTTTTTATATTAGAAAAACTCTAAAACATTCAAAAACAAGCCCGGAGCCTCACATTACAGCTTGCATGGCATGCGTCAGGGCTATTTACAGCGTCTCTGGTTTTTATTTTTTTAGTCTGTGGAGGCTGCTGTAGAAAAAGGTTTTGCATTCACCAGAGTAAATGACGTGCTGTCTTCTTAGCTGTAAACCTACGGACAATTGTGATGCTAAGCGCCGCACACTTGTTCTAGCTAAATTGAGCTTGCCGATACCGACGCTTCTGTCCAAGTGTGACTCGACAGTTGCTACCGAGCGAATGCTTGTCAGCAATTGACGCTTAGCTCCTCCCGAATTGAATACATAACAAAGAAGTTTGTCACATCGTGACTTCTGCTCGAAAGAACAACAGATATTTTATAAATTCTCTAATTGTCGGTCATGGCCCAGCAAAATGAGGCGATTGATTAATTTGTTCTATCCGCTTTTTACTAGGAATTGTCTACAAATTTCAAATCGCTTGCTGAGAAGAGCATCACGCATTGTGCGCATTTGGGTCCGCAAAAATTAAACATACCAACAGTAATAATTTATAGCATGTGTACTCCTCCTTTTTTGGCACGCTTAAGTGTCATTGACTTACTAAATTTAAGGGGACACTGACGGTATCTATGCTCACCGAGGTTTTTAGTTGTACATGGCATATGAGAGCCCAACTACCCAGAACGCAATTTGTGGATCGAAATTCGGTTTCTTTTCACCCAAAAGCTGCCGATAAAGAACTGGCCGGTTCGAGTCTCGCTCACTGTCTTTTCTGTGGTCATGGGCCGTTTTCTAAGCTTTTGACGCGACCACCAAATTTAATCAAAGTCGTTGGTCACTGGAGGCACACACTCAATATTAAAAATAGAAAAGAATATGAAACACAATTTTGGTGGCTTCTAAAAAGCTGCAAATACATTGATTGAAAAAAAAAAAGTTCCACAGAGAACCGGAAGCATTCTGTGCGTGCATAGTTTCGCGTATTGTGGGACTCGCGGTCTGGACGGCGATGGCAGCGGACGACGGGCGTGAGACCTCTACTTCAGAACTGTCGCTCGCGGTACCGGCAAATTCTGTTTGCTTTTTTAAGAGAGAAATGTGGGACTGATCAAAAGAATTGTTATTCATCCCGTATGACACGCCCGACCACCAAGCCGATTTGCACAAAGACGTCGCCAAGCCGTCGCTCCCTTCTCGTGGCTGAAGACACCGCTCGCGCAAACGTCGAGCACGAAATGCGTACTTCGAGTTGAATATGCACGCGTACGATTTCTTTACTAGGTGCAAATGTCGCCAATGTGTGGTGCTTCCCGACTTCGACCCGGGAGTGCTTTTGCTGGAGGAAATTTCGGCAGCAAACTTTCCAACTTACAGTTTATCGGCTGCATTATTACTGATGAAAGAGTTCCCCTAGTAGCTCAGTGGAAAGACGTCCACTTCACACGCGGCAGGACCGTGTTCTATCCCCAGTGAAAGCGTACCTTTCTTTTTTTTAGCATTTTGCGATGTTTACTTTTTTTTTACAATTGTGACTGAAGAAACAAAGAAAAAAATAACAAACAAATGTTGTGGATGAAACGTCGCTCAACTAAATGGTATGGGATTTCCTTTTTGACACCTGCGAACTCAATGTAATTACTTTCCACAAAATACAAGGAGCATATAAATCAGGGAGCGTCCGCTTTCCGAGGTGCCCGTAAATGTTCTACAGGAATTGCAGCCAGCCATTAGTCCCGACTCCCGATCCCGTTGATCTTTCGTAAACTCTGTCGCAGAATGCCACTTTTTTTCGGACGCAGGGCATGTGAGCCAGCTCTTCACGCAACATCTTGGGTGTATTCTTTTCGGAGCCAATCATGGAAATTTACCACGGGCACTCACTACTCATCTCCAACTCCTCAGTGTACGAAACAACTCATCTTGAAGTACAGAACAGCGAGAGGAACAAACATAACTGCAAAAGAATCGCACGGCAAACAGTTCCCGCTACGCCGCCATGCATGTCGTCTGCTACGCAGAGGGGGGAAAAAAAAAAGCCCCAGTCGGGTGTAGCCACGTGACTTCCGCCACTCACTCGCTCCTCTTCACTTCTCCGACCTCCGTGCGCGGGTTTCGGTTTCGAGCAGTTGCATCTTTTGGCTTTATTAAAAATATACGCTACTCTGTTGCAAACTATTAATTGGGCTGTCCTCCGACACCATAATAAAGCGCCTGGACAAAACATTTAAAAAAAAATATTTGGGGGGGGGGGGGGGGCGGTCAGTGTCCCTTTAAAACTTCAATCGCGAGGGTGTCTCGCATGTTTCGCATCGACTAGGTGAATATGCAGGGATTTAGTTGAAACGATTCCAGAAGCCAGCCACCGCTTCTTCCTACAAGTTCTTTTGAGGAAATGTTTATTTACTGGTTTACAAAATTAAAAAAGGAATCGGCTCGGGACTAATAAGAGACCAGTACTCACTGAACACATTGCAACCAACAGGACACACAAAGTCGCTTTCACTGAAGTGTTTGCTCCACATGCGAGAAGTTCTCGAATTTCACTTTCTTATTTTCAATTTGATGAAAATATTCCTTTCTCAGTTTTATTTTGTCTGAATCATAATAAAAATATACACCCTATTCGCCGTGGTAGATGTTGTAGTGGGGTAAAGCGTATTTTCATTGTCCAGCTTTTTCTACTGGGGTAAAGAACAGCACACCACTATCCCATGCGCTTAGACAGCTCTGTGCCAAAAATGTTTGTTAGCACGGCTACGTGTGCCACAATTTCAAGCTTTCGTAAAATGCCCCACTCCAAATATTACAATAGTGAAAGAGGCTTCGCGGCACGCTACCCAAACGTCGCATGAAGCGAGCTGACGAGCCGAGAGATCCAAAATCTCTGTGGTCTGTCCCAGTCTGTCCTATCTATGACATCACAAACGATAATGATGATAGCAAAGTTTGCACACGCCGCCAATAGGAAGGTAGTGCAGCTCTTTTGTGTTGCCTGCCCTCTTGTTTAAATTCCTCATGAGTTTCTATAAACCTAGATATTTTTTTTATTTTGTTTGAACAAGGTTCCATTTTTTCGCAACAGGTATGGACAGCTGAACAACAAGATCTTGTTCAAAGCCTAGGAGGGCGCTCACTGCGGCTGGCCGGTGATGGTCGGTCGGACTCACCCGGCTATTCTGCCCTTTATGGGACGTATTCATTGCTGGAGACGACCCTCAACCGAATCATTCACCTGGAGCTTGTAAAGGTGGGTACCACAAAGGCTTTGCACCATTTGTATTATGCTCTTGTCTAATATGACAAGGCTGTGTAGGTATGTCTCAGGCCTAGAGTTACTACCTATATGAAGATTGTCTATGAAAGAGTCCAGAGATTGAAGGAAAATATAAGATGGACAGAAAATGTAAAAAAGAGGCGGATGGACTAGGCATGAGCATCCTTTCTGGATGTTGGTGTTATGCAATGTGCTTTGCTTGTTCATTCAAAGTATTGAAATAGTTGTTTCGAAAGAAAAACCATGCTGTCATACGAGGATTAGTATGGTGTGTATTCATACACTTTCCTTCTCTGGAACTTATCTAAGCTTGCCAACCTTCTCTTCAACTTTATAAATTGGTCTTAATGGCAACGTCTCAAAAGGTTGAGCTATCCTGTGGCGGTCTCAGAAGCTCCAAACTTACATACTAATGGCGTGCATGCACCATGAGGGGGGTAATGCATCTTGAAATGTCTCGGCACCTTTACTTTCATTCCCCACAATAGAGGTAGCATATCTCTGCCTGCAGTTGCTGGGCTTGACAAGAAATATCCGCTGATGTAGTTACCAGGCTGCCTCACGTTTTTTCTGTATTTTTTTTCCCTTTGCTGGTAATTTTTTTGTCTGTCACCGTTATCCTCCCCTACCGCCTTGACCCTTCCTTGTTCCTGCTTTTCACTCTCCTTCTTCTCCTTGGTCTCTTTGGCTGGATGCCGGCACCTAATAAAGCAATTTGTGTTGAACGTCCAAAGATGTGCTGTTCTGTACGTCCCTCTGTTTATGCTGTCAGTATTATTTAACTTTATAGTTTTTTGCTTCTATAATTTCAGCTAGATAGGGAGTTAATTCATGCAATGCATTATTACTGTGGGCTACATCTGTTCATTGCATTTCTTTATTGGGTGTTGTTCAGTCGACCGAAGTGAAATCGAGCTGCCACATGGAGCTGGAGGGGCTGACCAGAGCTTTGCTTCACCTTGAGGAGCTGGGTCTCAGGGTGGAAGTGGTCGTGACTGACAGGCATGTGCAAGTCAGTGCCTACATGAAGCGGGAGCACCCCCTTGTCCAGCACCGTTTCGACCTCTGGCATGTCAGCAAAGGTAAGCCAATATCAAAACAAAATTCGTGAATCCCATGAGAAAATTGCTACAAGTCCCCTTCTTTACCGACATATACTTCCAAAACAAGCTCTCTGGCCAGAGCCATTTTTTTATGTGGATGCCACTGCTTTGGCTCTTGTGCCCCCTTTTCTACCATCTTGGACTATGAGACCACTGCTCCTCCCTCTCTGTGCCTGCACTGCTCTCTGTTGCCAGTTTTCAAGCCTCATTTCTGCTTGGTCTTGAGGGCAAGAGTGCGACCGGCCCACGACAGTGTGAACAATGATAAGTATTCTTCCCCGAGATAAGCCCCAGACAACCTTTTGCTGCAAATGTGCCTCCGCCAGATATAGATCATCCGGCTGGGGGACCAACAGTTGCACGCTCCATTAGCCCAGGGAAATGTGTAGAAAAGGAAAAAAAAAGTCCTAGGACACTTGAGCACTTCTTTTGAGTTGTGAATGTGAAAGCATGAATGTCGTTCTTCCGCTCCCTTAGTTTGTGTGTGACGTAGTGACATGGAAGGCCGAGTGCGCACACTCGTGAAGTGGCCTTGAAGTGGTGGGTATGTCGACGGGTCATTTGTTGTTTTTGTACTTTATAAACTGCATTTGTTTCTTTTTTCACCTAAAATACTGAACAAAAACTACTTCCACGAATCATTTAAATGGTTTGCGCCACTTATATTTTGTATTTGGACTAAAAAAAAGCTTTTAGCTGCTTTGACCAGGAGTAAGGCAGGAGCTGGTCAGGACCGACATCACGATGTCGTCACATGCCGTGTGTGTTTGGTACCATGGGGCACCCCCGTAGGTGCAGGAGGCTTCTGCATTGTCCGGTTAAAATTAGGTGCACTGATATTTAGTTACTCTCTCCGTGCCCACTGGCTTGCCCGAATAACAAGAGATACGGAAACTGCAAAAAAGGTAGACTCTTAAATAGGATTGCAGGGCCCCTTTAATGTTCCAACCACCCTCCCACCACAGGATGCTGTCCAGACTTCATTTGTTTCTGCGGAACGAATTCGGGTCGCTTACTTTTTGAACAGACCTAGTACATCTTTCGGCATAAGCTCTTTGACATAGACTTTCATACTTAAACATCAAGTGCATCAAAAAGGTTTTGGTCCGCAGGCCCGACCCAAGTGCTGCTCCTAGTATTAAAAATACTGGGAACAGTGCTTCGATTAAGCCTGCTTTTAAAGGGAAACTGAAGCGGTTCTGTATTTGAGAAAAAAACACTTCAGTGGCCTTCATTCGACCTCCAGGATCACGAATATCGAGATTATCTGTCAATTTGGTGCATGGATGCCGCAGAAATTAATTTTTAGAGTACCGCCGAGGCTCCTCCTTCCCAGGACGTGATGTCATGCAAGGAGTTTTTGGAACCTCTGCTCTCGCGCATCTTCAGCGCCTGTGAAACCTATGCACGCACACTGTTGCTGTTTTCAAAGAGGTCAAAAAGAGACATCACGACTGGTGTCAGTGCAGGAATATACACCTGGCAAGCTTGCAATTGCATGCGATGCCCACGCGAGCGACATGCGCTGACCGGCCCAAATATCCTTGTATGACGTCATGATTGGTAAGAGGTTTTTCGCGCTTTCTTGTGTTTAGTTACATCTTCCGGGAAAATGAACGTGATATTCAGATTCATGGGATATAAATACTGTAGAATTCACCTCTAACACATTTTTTTCATGAAGAGTTTCAGCTTCCCCTTAAATTGATGCATGGAAATACAAAAGCGAATAATATTTACAGGCATCAAACAGAAGATTGTAGCTTTGGCCAAGTCGCCACAGCACAAGGCCCTAGCAAGGTGGCTGGACACCATCACCAGACATCTTTACTGGTGTGCCCGCACCAGTGACAACCATGGGGACCTCATCCTCGCAAAGTGGACATCGATCACACGACACATCTGTGATGTCCACCATCACCCCAACTCGCTGCACCCTGCGTGTCTGCATGGGGAAGTACAGGATCGACTCTGGATTGAGGAGGGTGAGTCCTTGGCCAGCAGAATTTAGTTTTGCGAATGTTTATCCATTAATACTTTTCCTCTTATAGGAACCGAAACCTTCAAAAAGTTGGAATCGGTGGTCCTTTCCAGTCATCTCCTCCGGGACATACCCAAGCTCTCCTCAGACGAGCAGACATTTTCACTGGAGGCATTTCACGGTGTTTTAGTTCACTTCGCTTCCAAGTCTGTTGGCTACTGCTACGAAGGACTGCAGGTAAGGTGGGCATTGCATTATACAGGATATTGTCACGGGTGGTGACCAAAAATAACAAATAAACAGGAAGAAATAAACGTGTAATGTGGCGAACTTGTGCCAAAATAAAAGGGTACAAAAGAAAGATAACAACAGAGCGTCGCGGGCGTCGAAGTCGGCGTGGTAGCAGAATCGAGCGCTGGGGCGAGACTGACTCGACAAGGTCGCGGGCGGCCTCTTATCTAGAGTGCGCCGCTATCTCGAAGATTCGGCGAAAGCGGTTCGAGCGTCGCGTGATCGGGGCGAGAATGAACACGCACTTTCTAGAAAACAAAAGCAGGGGTAAATGATAGAAGTTAGGTGCGGTACATGAATAAACGGGAACTTTCTGGAGGACCGTGACCGAGCGTTGCTTTCTCAGCCTTGCGCGCTGCATTACTCCCCCCTTTAAAAGTGCATCGCCCCGATGCAGTGTAAAACAAATCAAAATAAAAAAGAACGATAAACTAAAGAGTTTTTTGGAGCACAAAAGGTCCACAGTCCTATCGAGCGTAGTACGGCTTCAGGCGCACGACGTGGACGACCTCCGGTCGTGGTGGGCGGCGTGACGATGTTCGTGTTCCGTCGGGCATCACCTCGTAGTTCAGCTCGCCGAGGCGACGAAGTACCTTGTATGGTCCAAAGTACCGTTTCAGCAGTTTCTCACTGAGGCCGCGGCGACGGATGGGCGTCCATACCCACACCCTATCTCCGGGCTGGAAGTGGACGTCCCTGCGACGAAGGTTGTAGCGGCCGGCGTCGACGCGTTGCTGGTCTTGAATCAGGAGTCGGGCGAGCTGGCGAACTTCTTCGGCGCGTTGAGCAACCGCCTGGGCGTCGTCGCTTTCGTTGTCAGATGGCTCATGGGGCAGCATGGCGTCCAGCATGGTCGTTACCTTCCGACCATGTACCAGCTGGAAAGGGGTGAATCCAGTGGTCTCTTGAACCGCCGTATTGTAGGCGAACGTGACGTAGGGCAGCACCTCGTCCCACGTCTTGTGCTCTACGTCGACGTACATAGAGATCATATCGGCGATTGTCTTGTTGAGTCGCTCCGTCAGCCCGTTTGTCTGCGGGTGGTACGCAGTTGTACGACGATGGCTGGTGTGACTGAGTCGGAGGATTTCTTGGGTCAGTTGTGCCATGAAGGATGATCCGCGATCTGTAATCAGAACTTCTGGAGCGCCGTGCCGGAGGACGATGGACTCAATGAAAAACTTGGCAACTTCCACAGCAGTCCCCGAAGGAAGAGCTTTCGTTTCGGCGTACCGCGTGAGATAATCTGTGGCGACGATGATCCAGCGGTTCCCCGACGTCGAAGGCGGAAAAGGACCAAGTAGATCCATTCCGATCTGCTGGAAGGGTGCAGTTGGAGGAGAAATAGGCTGCAGGAGTCCGGCCGGCCTCGTCGGAGGTTTCTTGCGTCGCTGGCACTCGTGGCATGATCGTGTGTACAGGTGGACGGTCTTGGGGAGCTTGGGCCAGTAATACTTTTCACGAATACGGGCCAGTGTGCGGCTGTATCCAAGGTGTCCGGACGTCGGGTCGTCGTGACATGCTTGAAAAATCTCCCCTCGAAGGTCGGTCGGGATTACCAGCAGCCACGGCGAGTTGCTGTCCCCGAAGTTCTCTTTGTAGAGTACACCTTGTCGAATGGCGAAGGTCGGCACGGCTCGTGAGAAAACACGGGGTACGGTACCGCCGCGCCCTTCCAGGTGCTCGATTAAGGCTCGCAGCTCCGGATCGTCTCGTTGACGTCGTGCCATGTCATCGGTGTTCACTGCCCCTAGAAAGCACTCGTCATCATCCTCGTCGCTGCTGTCGGAAGGTGTTTCGACGGGAGCTCTGGACAGGCAGTCAGCGTCGCTGTGCTTGCGTCCTGACTTGTAAACCACAGTCATGTTGAACTCTTGTAGCCGGAGGCTCCATCGAGCGAGGCGTCCGGACGGGTCCTTGGGGTTCGCAAGCCAGCAGAGCGAGTGGTGGTCCGTGACTACGCGGAACGGGCTTCCGTACAAGTACGGACGAAACTTCGTGATTGCCCAGACGACCGCAAGGCATTCTTTCTCAGTCGTGGAGTAATTTCTCTCTGCCTTGGACAGTGTCCGACTTGCGTAGGCGATGACTCGTTCGGTGCCTTCTTGTACTTGAACTAGTACCGCGCCAAGTCCAGCGTTACTTGCGTCAGTGTGAATCTCGGTGTCCGCATCCTGATCGAAATGTCCAAGAACCGGAGGCGTCTGGAGTCGTCGCTTCAGCTCGTCGAATGCCTGCTGCTGTTCCTCGGCCCATTCGAACCTCTCGGCGTCCTTCGTGAGGTTTGTGAGTGGTGCGGAAATCCTTGCGAAATCCCGAACAAAGCGACGATAGTAGGCACAAAGTCCAAGGAATCTTCGCACGGCCTTCTTGTCTGTCGGCGCTGGAAATGACGCGACGGCGCGAGTCTTCTCTGGGTCGGGGCGAACGCCTTCGTTACTAACCACGTGACCTAGAAACTTCAGTTCGTCATAGGCGAACCGACACTTTGACGGCTTGAGGGTGAGTCCAGCGGTCCGTATGGCTTGAAGAACAGTTCGGAGTCGTCGCAAGTGCTCGTCGAAGTCGCTGGAAAACACCACGACGTCATCGAGGTAGACCAGACAGCTCTGCCACTTCAGTCCTGCCAGTACGGTGTCCATAACACGCTGGAAAGTTGCTGGCGCCGTACATAGTCCGAAGGGCATTACCTTGAACTCGTACAGCCCATCCGGCGTGACGAAAGCTGTCTTCTCTCGGTCCCGTTCGTCGACTTCGATCTGCCAGTAGCCGCTCTTCAGGTCCATCGATGAGAAGTATCGAGAGTGGCGCAGCCGGTCTAACGTGTCGTCGATTCGGGGGAGTGGGTAGACGTCTTTCTTCGTCACCGCGTTCAGCTGCCGGTAGTCCACGCAGAACCGAAGCGTTCCGTCCTTCTTCTTAACCAGTACGACTGGAGAGGCCCACGGACTGCTTGATGGCTGGATTATGTCGTCGTTCAGCATCTCTTGAACTTTCTCCTGGATCACCTCCCTTTCTTTAACGGAGTCTCTGTACGGTGATCGATGCACAGGGCGCGCGTCGTCCTCGGTAATGATGCGGTGCTTCGCAACGGCTGTTTGGCGTACCTTCGACGACGTCGCAAAGCAGTCACGGTATTCGGCGAGGAGGTTCATCAGCTGCCGTCGTTTTGGGTCCGGAAGCTTAGGGTCGATGTCGAGTTGCGCTGGCGACGTACCGTCTTGCTGAGGTGGCGAGGATTCATCAGTAATGGCGGCGATTTCGGCGGAGTTTCGGAGATCCTCGACGTGGCCAACGGCTGCACCTTTCGTGAGGTGTTGCGTTTCATTCCGGACGTTCGTCACGAGGACCACAGTGCGGCCATCCTGAAGTTCAGCTACTCCTCGTGCGACGCCTATTCCTCTTCCCAGGAGCAACTGGAGGTTACCTTCCAGAAGAACTTCGCTACGGGTAGCTGCATCGGTCACGACAGGTACGACAACACTTGATCGCGGCGGCAGATTCACGTGGTCGGCAGCGACTCGGACGGCGGCTGACGCAGTTTGGAGTTTCTCTGAAGGCGGAACAGGTGTCCGCAGCGTCAATCTGTTTTCTCCAAGGTCGATGACGGCGCCGTATTCACACAAAAAGTCCATGCCGAGAATGACGTCTCTGGAACAGTCTTGTAGAATGACGAATTTCACAGGACACGTCTCGCCGTGAATTTCGACGCGAGCGGTGCACCTTCCGACAGGTGTGATGAGGTGTCCTCCGGCGGTTCGTATCTGCGGTCCATCCCACGGCGTCGTGACTTTTCGAAGGTGGCGAGAGAGCCTCCCACTCAATACTGAGTAGTCTGCCCCGGTGTCAACGAGTGCCGATGCGTTTTGGCCATCGATAACAACGTTTAGGTTGTTGGACACCGTTGCAGGCGCGTCGATGCAATGCGGGGTGTCGAAAGAGTGGGAGCGCTCCGGCGTTCTTGGAGGCTGTTTGCTTCCGTCGTTTTCGGCAACGTCACCTCCAGGCGTTGCCGCACTCAGTTTTCCCGACGACGCAGGGGAGACAGGCTCTCTCGGCGGGATCGTGACGCTGGGGAGGCTGAACGTCGTGGGGAAGGGGAGCGGGCTTCACGGCGGAGAGACGACACTGGGGAGGGCGAACGTCGGAGGTACTCCTCGATGTCGCGAGGGCGTTCGCCGTACCTCGGGCGTGGGTCGTTCGGGTGGAACCCACGCAGGCCCATTTGCCGGTAGGGACAACGACGGTAGATATGGTCGGCCTCCCCGCAGTGGTAGCAGATGGGTCGTCGATCCGCTGTCCTCCACACGTCGGTTTTCCTTGGCGCCTGCTGTTCTCGGCGGTCGTACTGACGTACTTCGTCGTTGCGTCGGGGGTACGCCTGCGTTGATGGGTCTCGTCGTGGCGCCACCGGGTAGTGTTGAGCAGTTGGCGACGGTCCTCGGGCCACTGCGGCGTAGGTCAGCGTCGGCTCATCGGCTGCGGCCACGCTGGCAGGAGTCTCCGGTTGAATTGCGCGCTGAACTTCTTCGCGCACCACCTCGGCAATCGACAGCGAAGCCGGCTGGTTGGCAGCAGGCAGCAGCTTCCTGAGTTCTTCCCGGACGACGTCCCGGATGATGTCGCGAATGTCCGGGATGCTGCAGCTGGACGGCGAGAGGGCAGCGAAGCCGGGGAGTCTCTGGTAGTGTGAGGCCCGTGCGTGAAGGGCACGTTCGATGTTGGTGGCCTCAGTAATGAAACCCTGGACAGTCGTAGGCGGGCTCCGCACGAGGCCCCCGAAGATGTTTTCTTTGACGCCGCGCATTAGGACCCGCAACGTTTTCTCTTCGGGAGCGTTTGGGTCTGCGCGGTTCGTGAGGCGGAGAACGTCTTCGACGAAGCTTGTCACACTCTCGTTTGGCCCTTGGTGTCTTGCTTGAAGGAGTTCTTCGGCACGCTGTCGTCGCTGCTGGTTGGCAAAGGTGCGTCGCAGCTCGGCCTGGAACTCTTCCCACGTCGAAATCGACGCTTCGTGGTTCTCGAACCAGGTGCGCGCCGTGCCTTCCAGAGCGAAGTAGACGTTCTGAAGGCACTGCTCTGGTGTCCACTGGTTATGGCGGGCCACTCGTTCGTAATGCTGTAGCCAATCTTCAACGTCCTCGTGGACCTCCCCGTGGAATGGCGTCGGAGTCCGGGGTGCGACGGGAAGGTATACGACGGCGGCGGCGGACGGGTTCTGCGATGACTGGTTGTCCATCGTCGGCCTCGTTGGCTGCCTGGTCCGGGGTGGCAGAAGTCCGTGTTCCGGGGGTAGACCTTGGGTGCGGCGACTGGATCGGGTCTCAATCTGGTCTTCGCTCGGTCCTCGGCAGGCTGGGTCCGGACTTGCACTGCGGGAACTCGGAGGGGAGCGCTGAAAGGGCATGCGCACCTCCACCAAAATGTCACGGGTGGTGACCAAAAATAACAAATAAACAGGAAGAAATAAACGTGTAATGTGGCGAACTTGTGCCAAAATAAAAGGGTACAAAAGAAAGATAACAACAGAGCGTCGCGGGCGTCGAAGTCGGCGTGGTAGCAGAATCGAGCGCTGGGGCGAGACTGACTCGACAAGGTCGCGGGCGGCCTCTTATCTAGAGTGCGCCGCTATCTCGAAGATTCGGCGAAAGCGGTTCGAGCGTCGCGTGATCGGGGCGAGAATGAACACGCACTTTCTAGAAAACAAAAGCAGGGGTAAATGATAGAAGTTAGGTGCGGTACATGAATAAACGGGAACTTTCTGGAGGACCGTGACCGAGCGTTGCTTTCTCAGCCTTGCGCGCTGCAATATCAAGACTGTTATAATTTATTGTACATTGGTGTTGATTTCAGGACGTACAGTACATTGCAGCACTGCATTTTAACTGCAATGCAGACAGAAAGACCCGTATCGAAGAAGATGGCCAGGACATGTGTGCCTTGAAGTTTTCAAGAGGACGCAAACAGTGGACTGTCGTCCCTGTTAAGGAAGACACGAAGTTTGGTATGTTACATTTACAAACTGCATGTGAAAATTAGAGGCATTGCAGCCAATACATGCAGACATAATTTACATATCTACATAATTGTGTAGCAACGTCACAGTTGCATCAGCTTTGCAGTTTCAAAATTGCTGTCATAAATACTAGATTGTTTCATCATTTACTGCCACAAAGCGAGGCAAGTGTCGATGTGAAGGGTTCACTAGTCAAAACAGGTGTGTTTGGGAATGTCCTCACTGAACAGGCTCACACAAAGATGAAAAGGTTGTTTAAAAAAACTGCTAAAAAGGTATTTGAAGATGCTTGCTTTTGTTATATAGTGTAGCGCAGTGGTTCTCAATCATCGATGTTTCACGGACTCCTTATGGATCGGCGGATATAATGGAGGACTCTGTTTGTGGCGAGGTGAAGGGAAAGGTTTAGGTTAATTATGATCATTACTTAGTAAACAAATAGAAATAAGGGCTAGTGTGAAGTAGACTTCTCTGATTGACATACACTCGAGAAAACTCACCCGAAAATTGGAACGTTTCATGTCAATATGAAAAAAATACAACTTTATATGCCGGGCTTGTCTGATGAGCCAGCGCTTCGCGGACCCCCATTTGAGAAACACAAATGTAGTGGATACCATTATGCATTCAACGTTTCACATGACAAAACCGTTTACTAAGCCCGTGATAATAGAAATATATAGAAACTACTTTCTCCCCGCAACGGGGTTGAAAGCTGGGCTAGTTGGTAGCGGTTCATGATGATTAAAAAGCACTTGTCCTTGTAGGTGTCCTCTTTTTGTCCTTGTGTTTTGCGTGCTTTCTAATCATCATCGGCTTTTTCCCTTGCCTTCTTTTGCGGAGGTGATATGTCCGCCCGCCTGCTCCCGGAGCATTCGCTTGCAATACTTGTGAAAATCATATTCCCTCTCGCTCCTTTGGATCCTGTCCGCAATTTCTTATCATCAGTAGAACATGATTACGTTTGTAGCATTTCTAACTCCAACAATGAGATATTAGGTGCTTACGACAGTGGAAATGGTGAAACCACTGGGGATGGAATCAACAAGGTCAGAAGCAGCGTGCATGCGGATCAATGCGCGTGGGAAGCCATCGCTCACAATTGGCTGACAAGTGCATTCGGTCAGGCTTGCCAGTGGTTTGGATTCTATGGTACGCTTGAGAAATACAATCTTTCTTTACCTTTTTGATAGGGAAATAGGTGGCGTATGGTTGTAAGATTTTGATTTTTAGGATGCCTAGAGCCCGTAGAGTGAGTTATCACCAAGAACAGACGGGCTCAGAAACATATTCAGTGCCCCTTTAAGCCTGGTAGTAGAAAATTCAGATTTTGCAGATCAAGAGATTGTTGCAATGTCCTAGGAATTACTTTCTAGACATTGTGATACATAACTCATGCATGTTTATTATACAACATTTTTAGGCTACATCGAGAAGCTTCTGGCGGGAGTCTTCGAACGGATTACGAGGTATCCAACCTTCAAGACAGCAAAGGCATCACTCCCGAGACTGGAAAGGGCTACCCTGGGCAGCACACAGGCGGAGAGGCCAGACTTGAAGAGTGCTGTTGCTGCCCACCGCTCGCGCTACCAGAGGCAACGAATCTTGTAAAGTGGGTTTTGTCAGTCGGCTAGGATGCAGTCACTGGTGGACTTGCACCTTTGACATAACCTGGATTGGTGCTAGAGTCTTGAGCTTTCTTTCTGTGCCTCTGTTACGAGTGTGGGCCGAGAAGTATGACACGTCCGAACTGGTTGACGGTTAGCAACACACTGATTTTTCATGTTTCTTTGCCATTATCTTTACAATAGACCATATGCAAAATTGCTTGGTGGTCTAACAGCACCGTGCACGTGGCCATCTTGGTAGCGTCAAGTATCTTGAGTTTCGGTTTCTCAGCATTTCCAGAACATGAATGCTCTGCCACTAGGTGTGATTCAGAAACCTTATTGTTTTCTTACTTCCGATCACCCAAGGTGGACAAAGGACTAGGCCGCCATGCTTTTCATCTCTGAGGACACTTTTACTTCTTTTGCCGATGCGAACATGCGTGATGTCTTGCTGTTTAGCAATAGACTAGACTAGATTTTCTTTTTTTTTTTTTTTTTGGGGGGGGGGGGGGTACTGACGAAAGCTTCTTTTAATGGAAAGCTCTGTGTTGTTTTAAAGGAAGCTGTGCCCTGGGAATATTTTTCAGGTGTTGCGAAGAGCTCAAATTGGTTTCACAAGCATTGACCTCAAGCACAGTTGATGGATGTTGTGCTATTAATGAAATTTGTTAAACCCTAGCAGAATAACTGCATTGACTCATTGAGCATTTGGAATGAACTCTCGGTTCTGGCACCATTTTCCTCTGGTGATGTTTACTATGAAAAGCTCTGTCGAACAGTTATGACAATTTTGAATCGTTAATTTTTTAAATTCTTATGTCTTGTCTGCAGTTTTGTGAGTTTATTGCGAATTGATGATATGTGCTGTATTTTCTGAATTTGGAACTGTTCTGAAGAAAATTCTCCCATTGTTGCTGTGTTGTTTAGACCTGTCTTGTTTCCTCTCAAAGGCTTTTTGGCAGGATAGTTGTCTTTGTAGCATAATCAAAATAATGTTATTTGAAACTTATTGATTGTGAAGCCAGTTTTGAAATGAACTTGTCTGTACTTTTTTCGGTTGTTGATGGACTTCAACTATCGAAAGATAAAATTAGGCAGGATCGTGTTTATAAAAGATTTATCTGAAATGTGTAATGTTGCAACTCTGGTTACTTATATCAAACAAGTGTTTAAACCTGATAAATTTGGAGCTCTAGACAGCATGGTGCTCAAGACAGTTGAAGTTTGGGACGACCGCTTAATTAATCGCAGCTGGCTGTTTATGCTTTGCAAGTGTGTCAAAGTGTGTATGACATGCATAGGAATGTCAGCATGACATCGACAAAGGTAACGAATATAAAAGAGGATCGTGCCAATCGATGGAAAACGTAAATTGCAGAGGCATAGCAGCCGCACACTGGCTGTCATTGGTTGAGTGTGGGGACAAGAAAATCACATGAGCGCATTTGGGAGTAAAAAAAATAATGCACAAGGCTACTTGTGCATTTTCATTTCCATTTTCAGCTTTCATGCCATATAAATTGTAGAATGAATGAATTAACCATTATTTCGATAATATCCTCGTCCGGGTTATCTCATTCTGACGCTGCAGCTGATGCTCCAGGTGTGTGCCCTTGGTCGTCCTCGGTAATAGCCTTATGTGCTCGTAGAGCAGTGTGCATAGCCGATGTTTGTCTTGCTGCGGTGCAATCCACTGGTCCCAGGTTGTGGCTTTAAAATTGGTTCGGGCAGAGGAGGGAGGGGGCTGTGAGAGGTCTACACCCAGGAGCATGCCCACAAATGTGCTCGCGGTGAAATACTTGCCACAGGGATCGCACCCTGGCAGTCCTGCCCAACCCTCGATATAATGTAGGTGGCTGATCTAGACGGAAAGGGTTTACACACTATGAAGGGTTGTAGCTATTTTTCTGTAAAAAATATACGAAGGCGATGGTGATTATGTCCGGTTAGTTTGCAGATCAACCACGAGATTTTCTTTCTGTGCAATATTTGACGGTGTATGTAAGGGTCGCAGGTGCTTGGCCAGTAAATTTATGGACCCATAGACGGTTCTTTCCCGAGCATGTTTGCTCCTTCATTACCGGAAGTACCAAGCTTGAGTGCTGATTATTATGCTGACCGAAATATGTGTTTCCTCACATAAATCACCAATTATATTTCTTGAGCGATCATGAGAATGTTAGCCTAGAGCAGCAGTGATATCTGCAGAATTATTGCTATGCGGTGTAACTGAAGCCGAAACCATTTTTGAAACATAGGAATAGAGGAAAGTGTTATGCTAAATTTAGCCATTTATGACTAATTGGAGAGTAGAGCAGCAATTATATCTCAATGGAAAGAGGGGGGGAACCGTAACCAGAACCGAAATTAATTTGTAAGCAAATAGGAATAAAAGGGAACTTTATCCTCAATTTAGATGATTTTCAATAATTATATTTCTTGCGGCTGCAGCGAGCGTTGGCAGCGGCAGGCGACGGCGCGTCGACGTAACTGGCTATCGCGAAAGAGAATCGGTGAATGAATCGGCAATACCGCGCTCGGCCCTTTATGTTCCGAAAAAGCTAGGGCGAGACTGACTAGAAAACGTCATTCTGGCCTTCTTATCGTTTACGCTCAGGGTATCTTCTCCCGAGCGTAATCTTCTGGATGAACGGAGAAGCGTATATTCTCGATCGCACGCGGCAATATCCCGAAAACTGGAGCGTAGAGAAACAGTTATATCTGAAAAGAAATTGCCCTGTCACCAAGATAAACTATTTTGCAAGCAAATAGGAATAAAGAAAGGGGGGCTATATCAAGTTGAATTTAGCCGTTTAGCTATTCATATTCTTTTGAGGATCATGACGAAGTACCCTTATTTGAAAACAATTATGCGGCGAAACCGAAACCATTCTGCAACTTGACAGGGCGGCCATCTTGAAATGATGTCAAAAGCGCTGCAAACATTCGCACGTGCGTAACCCGATTCTGTCTGTCAGCGACGGGGTACTCGTGTGATCACCCGCGCGTGGAAATGGAGCGTCGCTGCGATTCTTCAGATTCGTCAGAGTCTAGTGACAATCTAGAAATATTAGAGGATTTTGACTATGACAACGAATCCCCGTTTGCCTTCGACCCGCGGGCATCGCCTCCGAGGGAAAGGGCCGCGGCCGCGTTCCCGATCCGTCGATATGTGGACTCGGATTCTTCGGAGGCAGAATGGTGTGTGCGTTTATGCCTTTTCCGACTAATTCTAAAAAAAAACTTTTGTTGTCACCGGTGCCATCTCCTTTTAATTTGGTGCAATTGTTCTAATACCTGGGATTGCAAAATTGCCAGAGCGCAGGAGCGAGAAACTTGATGTTTCTTTTCGGTGGTCCCTGAAATTATTTACAGTTCATCTGGTCTTGATGTCTTGTCGCCAGTTATTTACTGCTTATTTATACAGGTGCTCTTGTAGCTCTTGTCGGCCGACGCTGCCAGACGAAGACCTTTGCTGTGGGGAAATCGAGAAAATGGCTCCACTGCTGCGGGAGGGGTGCATCACCCGCAACGATCTGTTTCGGGTGCTATGCCTTCATCGAGAATCGTTGGAGGTTCATGCTCTGATGATGGAGCATTTCACTCCTACAGCTATGGAGACCAACGATAAAAACAGGTATGTAAACTTAGGACCAAGATCACCTCGCCTGTGCAAATATTTGGGAATACGGATGCATTACTAGGATCAAAATAAGTCAAGAAATCCTCATTTGACTCTCAGCGCATAGAAATCTGTGATAGTAGCTTTACGACTTTCTGTAATAAAGCTCGTTATTTCCATGCAGAAAGCTGAGGTACACTGCATACCGGGTGTTCGTGAGCTGGGTGTGGCGCTACTGCGGTAGATCAAATCGCCACCGCTTGCCAGGTTGCGTCTTGAGAAAGATACGGGAGGCCTTTCCATCACCGTCTTAACAACTATTTTCGTGGCCATAGGTGAGTTTTCCAAGTATGTTGCCGTCTTGTTTGTTGCACAGTACGTCGTCTAACATGTTATGTTTAGTGCAATTAAAAGGCAAATTGAGCTAGAAGCTATCATCACCGACGTGACAAGAACCTCAAAGGAAGCGGTCAGAAATTCCTGGTCATGCGCATTGCCTTTTACAGTGCACTGACTGCATGTGGCATCACATTAGCTACAAGTATGCTTATGCAGTCATGACACTACAAATGGCAGCAGGGAGGACACCTGAATGCTCCTTCAAAGTTACCTTGCCAGTAACTTTACTAAGTACCGTAAAATACCGTGCATACGCCCACACCCAAATTTGTAAGATCTGAGAAAATATGCACAGTATATTTATACGTAGAATTGATGACCGGACAAGCGCCCATCCCCCATTTTTTCATTACTATCTCAAAATTTTAAATGGGCGCTTGCCCAATATTTTACGGTATGTTATCAAACAATTAAACACCACAATTAAGCACCACAAAATAAATTTATAATTGCAAATAATAGGGCACATAGCTTATTGACTTGAACATGGGTTGCTTTTTCTGTGAAACTTTCCCACGTTGCAGAATTCCCTGCTTTATAAACAATACGGCACTTACCTCAAACTATGCTTATGACAAGCAGATACTAAGTATGGACGTCTACTCAAAAGCCATGGGAACTGTCAGATTATGGATGAATAAAATGTACCAAATCGTAGGGGCTTTTTGTGAACAAATAACATCACTTTACTTTTCCGCATATCATGCATGTTAATAATTGCCCCATTGAGGAAAAGATTTGACAAAACTGCAAGATATGTATGTCTATTCAAAGCCCACAGCATTTTCAGTCACAAAATCTGATTGCAAAAGCATTTTCCCACAACCGTACAAGAGACCAAAGCTCAGCAAATGGTCACTAGGGTAAAAATAATGACACAGGCAAACCTTATGGCAAAGTATGACACTGCATCAAACCAACAAATTGCCATAAATGAAAAGCTGACCAGATTGGCACAACTAACTGTCATAACAGACAACCAACAGCAATTTTTTCCATACAGCAATAACGGACACCTCATTGAAAGTCGCACGAGTGATGAAGGCAATAACACTGACATGACAATAACAATGACATGAAAGCAGAGCAGCCTATACAGTTTTACACAATCAGCACACCACACACACACATATCACAGGCCTATATGCCGCATATAAGTTAACTACGATGTTATCAGAATGTTCACACATTCTACACTGTTCTGAGTGTGTCGTGGAATCCCCTCACTACACAAACACATCACAACCCTATATCACGGTAAAGTTCACAGAAAGTCTACACATTCACCACTGTTCTCGCTGCTTGTCCATCTGCTGAGCTCATCGAAGCCGCAACACTGCAGCCTTGGCAGCCCATCCGCCGAACTCTCCATGCATTGGCAGCCGCTGCTTTCTGCTGAGGTACCTGCTCAGCCTGCTGATGAAGAGCTGCCTCTGCCACTTTGCAAGCCGCCGGATACAGAGCCAAATTCCTCCCCTGTCACACGAGACGCACGCAGCTTCACACGCTACTCTCTCCACTGTTGCTGCCTAGGCAACCCACACCGTCGCAACAATCACAGTCACACACCACCAATTGGCTGGGGATATGGGGCATATACAGCTACTGCCATAAGGTAGCATTTGAAGTTTGTGCAGAATGATGGTTCACAACTTGGTACACCCAATTCCTAATAACCCCAATGTCTCAAAATCAGGTAGCACTTATCAACTGCACTAACACTGCAATTGCACAGTTGTAATGCTTTTTGTTCCTACAATTCTGTTTTTACGATTTTCAGTACTCCAACTGCCACCTACTGCCACTCCCGATCCAGTAGATCCACGACATAGTAAATCTGAAGAGCCAGCCGAGCTGTTTTCATTTTAATAAACATTTTCTCTCTGTCACTACATGCCTCCGCCTCGTTCAAAAGGATCATGCTGCGCTGCGTGCCCGCCTTTGAGCAAAGCTCGGCATGCCATGGATTGAAAAAAAACGTCCATCTGCCAACATTGACGTTTGCTTGGGAGTCAAAATCAATATGTTGTGGTGTTGCCACCGATTAAGGTGTACAGTGATGAAGATACTAAATAGCCCTACATGAGCGGGTGTTTTTTTTTTTCTAAGGAGCGCTTGAATGGCAGCTTATGTTATAACTAGGGTTCGGATTTTTCGGTTTAAACCGATAAAGGTATGCCGAATCCATTTTCGGAATCCGGTTTTAACCGTAAAAGGTCAATTTTTAGGTTCGGCATTTTTTATTTAAACTGATAAAAGTATGTCGAATCCATTTTCTAAAATTTAGTTTTAACTGGAAAAGGTCACTTTGACCTTCCAGTCGTACTGCTGAGCCATGGCGGAAAAGTGGAACGACAGTGTCCATCGAAACGTGTCCGAATGTATGGGATACACGGGTGCCATCACGACGTTATGGTTTAAGGCTGCGGTACCACGGCGGCCATCTTGAACAAGACATTAGTTGAACCACCAGGGCGGCGTTGGCTGTCCGTGTGAGGAAACGCTGCGGAACCTGCGCGCCAATTTCGAAACCCTTTTTCCCGTCGCTTGCGACCTTGAGTTTCCCTCTCCTCTCTTACACCCCTCCTTTCACGTGTTCACCCTCTGGCGCGTCGCGCGTGCGTTCATTGTTGGGAGGACAATGTACCGGATAATCCCTAACTGGAGACCCCCTGCCCCAACTTGTCCGGCTGCCAAGTGATCTGAGCGAGATGGGGTTTTGAAGCGGTATGGAAAAGTGGGACCGGCAATTTTGAACTATGCTTTTTCGAAGTTGGACAATTTGTGTGCAGGGCTTGCAAAGGCACAGGCGCGAGTGCGTAACTGTTCACAATGCTTGGGTTGCAGGAGCACTCGCGCGTAGAAATGGTAGAAAGCGCTTTCCAAAAAACCACGCGCCCCCATTCTCCAGCGTTGCACACCTATGTGTGAAAAAGGGTACACCTTCGATAATGCGTCAACGTCTCCCGACTTCGTGAGAGCAACAGGGTAAATATGAGTGCGCCCTGGGTGCCGGCCGTACGAAAGAGACGCCCTGCGCTTCCTGTCACCACTGCCTTTTCTTGTACGCACTGGCCATGGGCGGTTCTTTTATTTTTACACCGGATAGCTTCATGGCGTTTTTGAAAATACAAACCTGCTCATCGTACTGCTGCACTACAGCTGTGTCAGGCCATTGTGCTGTAGTTTGAGATTGGGACGGTGTGGCTACATTCTTATTTCGTGTGTAATGCCAGCACAATATCCCTTTGCTGAAAAAGGGCAAAAAAAAATGGTAGGATCGGCAGCAAAAGTTATTTCAATGCCCGAATTACGATGAAACACCAGTAAGAACTAGTGTAAAAGAAGTCACATGGGCACAATAAAAAAAAAGAAATCCTACAACAAGATGGTGGCGTCTAACGTAGTGAATTTAGAGTGTTTGTAATAGCTATAACCGTGATAATTATAATAACAATAATAATAATAATAACGGAAGCGGTGTTGTTCCCTCTGTATAGTGGTAACGTTACATTCAATTTGCCAGATGTGTTGGGACCTCTGATCAGGAGTGGCTGTGAGGTATTACTGGGACCGGACATTTCATCGGAGCTGTTTCATCGAACACCGCCTGGTTGACCAGTATAAATAATAGGCGAGGACAGCAGTGTTATAATACTAATTTTAATTTATTAGACTTCGTTTTTCAACGGAGTAGCGGAACTAATAAGAAAAAAACTTTATTTTTGTTTCCCATTATTTCTTTCATTTTCATTTTTTTTTATGTAGCTTCTGAAGGTACGAGACCTAAAAAAACAGAAAACACAAACTTAAAATTTCTTGAAACATCTAATCATCGGGTGCAGCGACGGGGGCACGTCCCTTAGAGGGCGAATCTTCGTAATCAGTCACATTTTTCAATAGAGTGATTGTAATTGTAATCGGTAATTTTTTTTTCAGTAACGCGTACAAGACTGGCTGTATGAGACGTTATTTCTGCTTTGGGTTGCGATCTTTTGAGACAACTCCGAAAACACAGTGCACTGTTCCTTCTCACCGTTGCGATTACCTCCATCTTTCAGAACGAAGTACGCGTTCGAAAATAATCGTGCCCAGGTAACCGCAGCATTCCTCGATCAGAACTGAACCCGGAGCTACGTTTTTTTCAGCTTGTTCACCATCGATCGATTAGCAATGCTGACCTTGTAGGGGCTTTGCCAGGTTGACCACTCCCCCCACTCAAAAAAAAAAAAAGCATTTTCTAGAGGACGAACTATTGCGGTTGCCCTTGTGACGAATTCTCCTTGACGCATGTTCCGCAGCGGGCCTGTTACCAGTCGGCCTGTGATGAACCGTCCTGCATCGACCAAATATTCCTCCGGCTGCAAACCGGAGGAATATTACGGCCATCACGTATGTAAAAGAAAAATGACACGGAACTGGAGGAAAATGAGGAAAAAGGGTCCGGGGAGCCGGGGGACACAACTGGTCGGTTGAATCATCGCCAGAACGCGGTCAGCTTTCATTCGGGGCGCAAAGCAAAAAAGGACAACGTTTTTTTTTTTTTTTTTGTAGAAAGTTACAGCCAAAAGAAACATCCTAGCCGACACTGAATCAGACGCTAGATCCGGACGCATAAACTTGAGCACACATGTGCTTGACGCTGTCCTGCGGTTACACAACACTCGGAGCCGGTGCCCAAAACGGTCTACTAGAACGCGTTTTACGAGTCGCGCTCCGCATCCCGATGCGAGCTACGTGTTCGCCGGACCAATCACTTGCCTGCCTTTTATCAGCTGACCTCTCTGTCTCCGCGTGAGTATGCGGAGAGGGGGTGACCGCGTGTCGCAAGGCTTCGGTTGAGTGGTCTAAGGAGCGTGCGGCTTCCACCTCACTGTCAGCGCGCAGTGTTGCCAAAGGTACAGGGGTGAGCGCATTCCCACCGGCGATGTAAGCAGTCGCGCGACGCGACTAGATGGCATCGCAAAAAGATTAGATGGTCACACCGGCGTGCGCGATGAGCGAGGCCAACGCCTTCGTTGGCGAGTCGTTTCTCGAAAACTCTCGCTCCGAACGCCGTTGATTGGCTCAGCCGATCCGCGACGAGATCGCGTCACAAAAAGTCGGGTCAGCAAGCGACTGCTCAAATCGGGTCGCTTTTTGGCCGCGATGGTCGCGTTTGCAATAAAAGTTATCGCGCGACTAGATCGCATCGCCGGTGTGAACGCACCTTTACACAATCAGGTGAAGATGAGAGGGGGGGGGGATTAGAAAAGTGCCCCCTTTTGTGTGTCGCCACGCCGTATCCTGGTCGCTAGTGTGCCCCTTGAAGATTAGCCCGTCACTCAACATTTATACAAAAGCGACTTTCCTCCCCCTCCCACAAGTGGCTTTCACAGTACTGGGCGCAATCTCTCGACCTTTTTCGTAAAAAAGTAAAATATTCCTATTAGTTAGAAGGAAAACATACACACAAAAAGAATAGATGAACGTATTGGGTTCCTGTCTTGTCTTGAGTAGTCTTGTCTATTTCCTAACAGCCTCTAAGGCTGTCGTATGTGTGTTTAGAAGCACTTGAAAGCTTGGGAGGTGTTTCTTTGTTCTCGACTTTTCACCTTCTCGCCCTTTTCCCTTCCCTTCACCTATATAAACAATATACGATGGATACATTTAGTTTCTAGTTGGAGGTCTCTCCGTTTCTTCCTCGAGCGTGAATTGAGAGGTGAGTAGCAAGATTTATTTTTCGTAAGAGTTTAGATTTTTTTAATTCGTGCACAGTGTTACAAACTTTGTATCTGTCGCAGACATGATCTTCTCCAACGGCCCAGCGTCGCTAAACGGCTACCAACTGATCGGCGACTCCATGTTGTTGCGTTTAGCGGAACACTGCTCCGGACTAAGGCGACAGCAAATCGGTACGTATAATTCGTGGGCGGCGCAGAAAAGCTCACGTCAAAACCGATGGATGCAGAGGAAAGCTCATCTGCCTTTTGACGAGTGCGGGGAAAAGGTCATCTGCGAAATCTAACAATCAATACTTGATATTCAATATTCGCGACCCTACTGTGGGCTTTGATTTCTCTTTTCTGTTTATATGTCGCACTTTGCTTTCCGCTCATTCTGCGCTTTTTTGTTTTCATATTCGTATAAGTATTTCTAAAATCAAGTGTTCGCGTTCAACCCCAGACGTTCCCTTCTGTGTCCGTTCCTTAGACTTTTTTTTTTTTTAATTTTCTGCACCACAGTCTTAGGACGCCATGATTACCTACCACCAGTTCGCCCGCGCACTCACGGTGTTTTCATCAGAAGACTGGCTTACTTTCTAAGAAAAAAATGAAGAAGCAGAAGAGTCCACAGTTTTGCAGAATGCATGAGAACAACAAAGTTGTCGACGCGTCTTTTTTCTAAGCTGCTTACTTCCACATGGAGACAGCCCCCTACAAAGTGACAAGTCCGTCTTGTTCTACATCTCCGAAAGGGGTCATTGGTTTATCACAAAGCAAAGAAAAAAACAAAAAAAACGGAGCAGAATATTAGTTTTTATGCAAAAAGAAAAAAAAACTATTTACAAAGGCGAGAAACAATCCGGCCAGAAACCATAACGTTCGATAAAACGGCGTTATATGAAACGGCTTCAATGAAACGACGTTCGATGAAATGGCCTTGATTGAACGGCGTCAATGAAATGCGTGCACCCACTCTGAGCGTTTTGTCACGAAGCGACAGGCTGTGAAGAAAAATTGTTAGATCGGTTCGCAGAATCGTGGGTGAGCTTTTCTCTGCACCTATCGAAATTCTGGTGAGCTTTTCTCCGCATCCGCCGGGTTTCCGGTGAGCTTTACTCCGGTGACCTTTTCTCCGGGATTCATAATTCGTAGGCTTGCCTAATGCATGTATGCCATCCTCTGTGTGTGTATTTGTTGTTTTTTTTTTCCTTCCATGTCATGACATATCCTTGTTTTGAACGTCCTTTTCTGTCGCAGTGAGCTCTACGTTGGTGAGCGGGGCCACAGCAAGCCAGCTGCTTGATGTGGTGATGGAAGTGCCTATCGCCCCGCGCGTAATCCTAATGATCGGGACCAACGATTTGCGGGGCGAATGTGATGCGTGCAGCCTAATCTCGGACCTGGCCATCCTACTAGGGTGGCTCACACTTTATGCGCAGAAGGTGGTGATACTGACGCTGCCTCCCATTGCGCTGCATCACCGTCGCGGAAGAAGCTGGCAAACAGTCAACAGGGTCAACCACTGGATCACTCACTGCGGAAGCAGTAAGTGCGGAACTTCGCCGGTTCGACAATTTGCCACTAATTTCGTTACTGTACCGATCGTTGTAGGTGTCACCATGCCAGTGGAGATCCATCGACCTTTCGTGGTACGGCGGACGAAAGTGCGATTTGACATGTATGCTAGGTAAGTTGTTCTAGCTTTACTGAAATCATGGAATCATAAAAGGCTTGCACAATTTGATCAAATTATAACAACCATTTCTATTAGGCGGTATGCTGGCAGAGGACGGCAGGACTTGGTCCACTGGAGCGCGGTTGGCATGGACGCCGTCGTGGGCTTACTGCACGTCGCCCTGCTGTGAGCTGCAAAAAGTTCGGAGTACCACCATCTCGATGAAGTGTCAAGGCTGGTTTGCGTAGTAGCTACCAGCTGCAATACGTGTGACTGACTTCATGCGAGCTCATCAGACGCCCAATGCATTTAGAAGTGTTCTTTTTTATACACACACGAGGTGGCTGCGCGTGCCCGTGCAGTGAACGCAGAGCCCTGTATATGTATAAAAAAGAACACCCCTAAAAATACTTGGCGTCTGATCTGCTCTCATGGAATCGCAGTCACACGTATCGCATCTGGTCGCTACTGTGTGAACCGGCCTTTGGTCATGGCTGTGGCATTCTAGTCGCCATGCAAAACCTGCACGTCTGTGCCTCGTTTCACCTTACGTCCGAGCGGGGCCGCTGTTATGAGCCCAAAGGCCAATCAAACTGCGCAAAAAGCGCAACGTCATGGCGTGCTGTCTGCACTTGATATGACTAGCCGGCGGAGAAGCACGCACGGAGAGACGGCGAATACCGGCTGGTCCTATCAACTGCAGAAAGCACGCCATGACGTTGTGCCTCTTTCGCTGTTTGATTGGCCCTTCGGCTCATAATATCGGCCGCGCTCGGACCTAAGCTGAAACGAAGTATACACGAACTCATCTCTGTTACGTCACAGCGCGGTGGTGGCGCGTCGGTCGCACTTCCGGTCTGGGGCTGTGGGCGGAAGCCCCCATGCCAGACGTGTATACCTGCGTTGTTTTGAAAGGAACCAGACAACAACCTGCATTCTCGTCAAAACGCCGCGACTGGGGCCGCACCAAAAGTGTCGAAAAAGATTTGAAGGTCAGTTTTCACGTGCTCGGTTCGTCCGAGAATCTGGATATGTGCCGTGAAAAGGGAAAAGCAGACGCCGTCGGACAACGATTGCTTGGGCGGGAAGCACTTTGGGTTGAATTCACGGATACTTGTGGTCATCAGATTTATTTGTTTTGTTCCAACTTGAACGCCAGAAAACCGTCAAGTTGTACAGACCCCCTGCGGACTACGTTCAATGCGCCTTCAAGTTCAAACGTCCGCCTGATCGTTCGAACTGTCGTCTGCTCTTTCAAACGTTTCTGCTTGTCGCCTGCTCTCTGAGGCGACGCCGGCACGTAGACGAAATGTTGACTCGGCACTTGCGATAAGAAGTAAGTGCAGGCCTGAAAAGACTTCAATTTGAAGGTTGGTAAGCAGGCTCGATGTAAACATTAGATACAAAAAGCTGTTGATCATTGTTACCAGTGACCATCACCGACTTGTTATCCCTAATTCACTTGGTCCGGTTCTGCTTGCGATTTTCAGTATCGACGTCGCCTATCTCAGCTACGATTCACGCTTTTGCAGCCCGAGTGGCGTCGCGACTGAAAATTGCGAGCGAAATCGCATCATGCGAATCAGGCTTTAGAGTACATACTGCTGCGTCCACGCGGAATGAAGCGCGACATGTCACGTTATTCACGCGAAGTTCTGCGGTGTAACGAGCCTCGGTAATTTCGCTGACGCCACTCAAGTAGTCAGACATCGCCAGGAAGACGTAGAAACAACAATTCGAACGCGAAAAAGGGCAGGGGGACTCACACCGACGCCGACGAGCTTTTGCCCACACCCCCATCGCGCATGCGCGGCACCGGTGGCGTCCGCTAAGGGCGCTCCGGTTTGTTTGTAAACATGAGTTGGTGTTGGCTCATCCATCCGTCAGGCGACATCGCAGCACGCAACCGCTCGCGGGTTTATCTCGCCTACGGTGATTTTTCGGCGTTCGCGGGGAATCGACAATCGGCCTTTTGTATGTCCCGTGATCAGTGTGTGCGCTCAAGTGTTCATTATGTGTGTCCAAGTTCAAGCGGTGCGTGTTGTTTTTCGAACCGTGTCCGGATGATACAAGTATTCACGTTTCCATCTTGTGAGTGAGTGAAGTCGATTAGGGCTAGCATTGGACCAAGCAATGTGTCTGCTCAAGTTCAAGCGGTGTGTATTGTTACCTGTGTCCGAATAATACGAAGTGCCACGTTTTTATCCTGTGAGTGAAGCGAGTTGGTTAGTGCTGTGCTTTGTGCTTGTTGGCGCGATCAACGTTGGTGCTTTTTGAGTGTGAGTCCTCGAACGTCCGCAAGTTCCTTATTTTTCCCACTCCATCGGTGTGCTCAAGTTCAAGTTATAACTGGTGCTTGCGGTTTTCTTACTTTTTTTTATTATTTCTTAGCTACGAGTTCGAGTAAGGGCAATGTTCACAGTGACGTAAGGTGGTTGGTTGGTCAGTGGTAGCAATCTTGCACGTTCGCTTGTTCTGTGTTATTTCGAAATAATATCTCCATGCTGCTCTCCTGGCAAAATTTTTTTTTCATATTAGTGCGGTGTACTTTTGGTAAGGTCGCGTATTGTTCAGGAACGGCCGGCGTGTTACTTTCTTTTCCTTTAGCACTCAGCCCTGGGAGCCTGATGTCTGAAAAATCTAATAAAACATCTGTCCATCAAGAATTGTCTGTCTTCTTTTTTTTTATGTCAGAAAACCACATGTGTTTTGGAGGGAGGCACGACTGAAACAACTGACCCCGGCGAAGCTGCGGTAGCGATACCGACTGTAATGTTCGTCGGAGACGCTGCACTCATCGCAGAAGCGTGTACGTGGGGCACACAGATTTTATTGCAGTCGCAACTTATGCAGCCAACGCTGACGGACTCGTGCAACTTGGCGGTGATTGCAATTCTAGCATTTTGCTATCGAGTACGATTGTATAACAATATGGCAACGCTGCGAACGTCTTGCGACAAAGTCACGTCTTGATCAGAGCCCCCTGCTCCATCCAGTGATTTTAGCCGCCCCAAAGGCCTCATTGAAATTGCCGTAAGCCATCCTTCGGACCACTCGAAACACGTGCCTCAGCCATTTAACTATCTATCATAATGTGATCGCACCTGCTCACCGTCAAAAAAAATAAAAAATAAAATAAAGCCTCACAGGTGTCACTCCCTGAAGCACACGACATTTCGGACCGACCCGCCGGTTTAGAAACCAGCGTTATAAAACGCACAACCATTCTCTCCGGTCGCAATAGCGTGGAATACAATGAGATAAACTTTCGAAAGCAGTAACAACCGTCGAAATACCGAACAAAACCAATTATTGTCGGGCCCAGAACTGCCATTGAGTCTGCTAGGGGATTGCAAGTTCGCCCGCGGCCAACACCAAACGCGCCGCACGCTAGGCGGCATGTCACGTTTGCAATCTGTTGGTTAGTGCTAGCATTGAAGGCTTTGTTCGAACGCTAATATGGAAATCATATCTCTGTTGCTGCATTGCGGCCAAAAATATATATGCCCTTATCTTTCTAGCAGAAGAATGTGACAAAATTTGTCTTGTTATTATGACCGTGTACAGTAAAGTCGACGTCACCTTTTGTATCCCGTTCAGGCCACTTCGAAAAGTAAATGAATAAAAGTTATTTTTTTTTAAATACATTTTTTTAAAGTTAAAAAAATTAATAAAGTTTGCGCCTCGTTTATTTGCTTTTTTTTTTTCGTTGCAAAACAAAAACGCGCCCCGCGTTTTTCAATGCAAGCTAAACGGTGGTGAAGTGATCGTCTCGCTCGACGTCTTCCGGAGGACAGCTTGGTTTTCACTGGCGGAATGCGTGCTCCGACATGCAATCCATGACTCAGCTCCATCTCACGATTGCTACAAAATGACCAGTGGATTCGCCATCATAATAAAGCCCTTTTCACACCATACTGTTTCACTACTTTTTCGTTTCTTACGTTACGGCACTGCCCGCAAAGAAGCCGCCCTAGGTTTGCCTGCAGTCCTGGATTCAGTTGCAGGGATCGTTGTGGGATGGTTCACGTTTGCATGCGACCTCAGGAACGTTTCTTTTTTCGTGTGAGAGATAATAGTGGTTGTTTGCTTTCATATCTTGATCGTGACAGCACACAATTTCATTCGTCTCTGCATTACGGCACTCACATTTGTGTAGTATTTATGACGGAATTCCTGAAAACACTAGATAGTTTTCGAGAGTAAAGGTGACAAGAAAAATATCAGCTGGGTTCTATTGTTTATTCAAAGCAAAAACACATTCGGGTGGCCAGAATCGCAGACTGCAGCACCTGGCGTAGAACCAGCAAATCAGAGGACATTCCTAGCAATTTGTTTTTAGAGCCACTATGCCTGCAGGCATCCAAATATTCACTTCTATTCTATCATAGTTTTGGACATGCAAGTACATTCTTGAAAATTTTTAAAAATATCACGCGAGCGCCGTCCAGCTGGTAGATCAGCACATTACCACAGCGTGAAGTAGTGAAATCAACTTCAGTAAGTGCATGCATATATTTGCATTCTGATGACACTAGATAGCTGTTGACAGAGATGATGACACAAGAGAAAAATGAAGGGTTATAACGTTTATTCAATACTACAGAAAAAAAAAATTGTAGTTAGAAGCAACACATAAATGATCACCCTCATTACGTACGGCCTGTTGGTCCACGGGCACTTGTGCCATTCCCACTTGGGAATCCTCCCTATCCGCCACCTGGGAGACGCGCTCTCTAGCGGTCAGGCTCCTCCAAGAGTTAGATATCGGGGGTTACTGTGCAACACTTGAACAAGTTCCATGACTCTCCTTAGCAAAAGGAAGCCAGAAGGCAGCTCGGGTAAACCCGGAAAGGCACAACTAACTTCCTTGGGAGAGAGGTCCAATCAGGCAGCAAAAACAAAGTGACGAGACGGTTCAAATGGGGACAGGAATGTTTTGGGAGTGTAGAGGAAGCTAGAAGGCAGCTCGGGTAAACCAAAAAAGGCACAACTAACTTCCTTGCGAGAGAGGTCCAATCAGGCAGCAGAAACAAAGTGACGAGACGGTTCAAATGGGGACAGGAATGTTTTGGGAATGCTAGAGGAAGCTAGAAGGCAGCTCGGGTAAACTCGGAAAGGCACAACTAACTTCCTTGGGAGAGAGGTCCAATCAGGCAGCAAGAAAAAAGTGACGAGACGGTTCAAATG